AGGTAGCCCATTAATTAAGCCCCGGGCGGTAAAGTATTGGAGTTGCACCTGTATCTGATTACTCGATAGAACTATAATAGTTTTAGAAATGGTATCCAAGGAGAATAGTCAATTTTATTTGGATTTTGAGATGAGGTCCAAAATTTTGAGTAGGTATTAAACTTACACATGGATCTCTGTGTTCCTCCTGTATCGTTATGCTATAGCAAATAGTAGAAATACCTAGCTTGAGTAGACCAATGATGCTTCTTTGACACTCTGAAAGGTTATCGGGAAAGGAATGTAATTTTGAACAAATATGAAACAAACAAATTCAAATATGTGAACAACGGCCTTTGTTGTCATCACAAGTATTGGTTTTTGTAGAGATCCCTGTCATCCACTGATTATTAAATTGTGCATTAACAGTTCAAATAAAGAAATTGATCAGTGTTCCATAATATTGTGCATATATGCCGATCATATTTTTCAATTGTTAAGAGTTTCTTGTCATCCCTATATGTGTGATGTATCAACATCTAATGTCCTACAAATAATCTGAGTTCTCTTCACGGGTAAACCCATCAGCAAGGAATAGAAGAAATAGAGGAAAAAATGAAACACACGATCCAAAATGCACTAGTTGTGGCTGGTCTCGCTTTCTCATTCCCTATAGAATTCCTCTTCATTCCTTGGGAAAATGCAATCACTCCGCTCTTCATTTCTCCACTCCCACTACGGATAACTTCCAGTTCATTGCCATAACCCACCCAGTGGATTTATTTTTCCCCTTGCTTCCTCTCCGACTACTTCTTCCACACTCAATGAGTTACAAATATATAACGGATAAATTACAGCCAGCAGCCGAAAAGTATAATACTAAATTTGAAGTAGTGAATAAACAAAGATCACAATCCTAAATCCTATCCTAAAAGTTAAACTTTGTGCATAGCAAGAAATAAAAAGAAAGAATTGGAAGGCCCGACGAAGAAGAGAGTTAACAATATCGGACGAGCACTCTGTCTGCGAGATGGGTCTCGTAGCTTGACTCGTTGCGCGTGTTAGGCGTTGCATGACGCCATAGCCTATGACGCCACCGAAGCGACGCCGCATATGGTGGCGAATGCAAGGAAGAAGGTATTTGGATTCGCGGTCCTCCTCACAGATCCCATTATCCACGCCATCTCGCCCTCCTCTCGCCGCTCTTCCCCCTTCTCCAGACCTTTCTATGCAAACACAAAATTGTTGTATCTTTATTTGAATTTATTTTTGGTAAAAAAAAACAGTATAATTTTTGTACAAAAGTCAATATCAAATATATAAACTATAAAGAAAATGATGGGGGTTTACAGTATACTTATGTGAAGAGTATCAAAGTAACTATTAGGATTTTTGTAGAACCGTATTTGTTTAAAATATTTATTCATTGATTAAAAAATTTAGTATAAAAATTTACAAGGAATAACTTCATTCTTAAAATTAAATCATTTAAATTCCTATATTTTACTTTCTCTCAAAATAAAGAACGTTTTTTGTTAATTTTTTCTTCTTCAACTTGACTTTAATCAAGATATTGTTGGTTTAATTTAACAAATGTTATCAGTTTGATTAAGATAGGGTATTCATTTTCGGTATTCAAATCATAACCATTACATATATTTATATTATGTACTACATTTTTGTGACAATATATTATACATAAATAGACTAAATACATTTTTTTCTTTTGATATCATTGGAATGTTTTTAGATAATATTGATATAGATTATTTTTTAATTAATATTTTCAGAATGTAACAATATAAACTAAAATTACTACTCAAATTTTGTAAATGTTCTGTAGATTAATATGGATGATATTATTTTCTAATGAATATTAATGATATTGAAATCTATAACATTTGTGTATAAGGTTGAAATAGAAATGTTTGGATTTTGGCTCGCAGTCTGGCAGTTTGGTTCAGCATTTGAGCGAGGATCATAAGTCACAGTTAAAGATGAAACAAATAATGTCTGTGTCTTCCTCGTGTATTACAAAGATATAATAGGAACTATGCAACCAGATTCCACAGAATTCTCACATGCATTTCTGATAAGTGATGATAAAACGAAAGTCTCCATCCCAGAATTCACCCCCTAAGACCAATTCAAATGAGAATTCAATAGTGAAAAATAGCCCCCGAGTAGGTTCGAATTCGACTCCCCATAGTAACTGAAATCCAACCTCAACATAAATGTTCCTCCCTCCAGCAGAGCGAGAAGCAACCAACAAAAAATACAAAAGTTCCAGAATTCGGCGAGAGAACCGCAATCCGGATGGGTTTCGTCATGAAGATACAAACAAGATTGCTACCAGAGACCAAATTCATCAGATGCTAGTGTGTGAGAAAATAAAAATGACAGGGGGTCCATTGGTCAATTTTAAAAAAACAGAATTATTCTAGAAAAAAAAAACAATTGGGGAAAGCATGGCGTAATGTGAATGCAAAAATAAACAAGAATGAAACAAGTGAAAACAAAATAGAAGACGGGAATTAAGATTGAATTCTAATTTCCTTGTTTTCCGTTGGGTTTGATTTCGTCTATACAAAAACTCATAACAGCAGAGAAACATCAGTGGCTGGTCAAAAGGGATTAGGAGGAAAATGCTCAACATCCATGGAAGGGAAACCAGACTGTACTGTTCGCATTCCTCTAAGTATACTCTTTGCTGTTTCTCTCTCCTGTAAAAAATAATTAAACCATTTAATGATTTTAGAAGACTAACCTGCTTCAAATTGAAAGTTGAGTAGAATATTTAGACTCACCGGGCCAGTATAATCCAGAAGTCGTGTACAGTATACCTCAGCTTCTTCAAACTTTTTCTGTGCTCTGTAATATTTTGCAAGATAGAGCAAAGCCTCAACCATTTTAGGCCCTTCCCTCTCTTCAGATTCCATCCTCTCTAAGTCCTTTTTGTAGTAAAATGCAGCCTCTTCAGGGCGCCCCATCTCCGAAAGAAGTCTTGCCAAGTTGTGCAGTGCAATTGCTTCCCTGTCATTACAATTTGCTGCTCTTCTGTAACACTTTACTGCTTCATCAAGCATGCGAAGTTGATCAGTTTCATAGCACTGTGCCATAGCAATCCACAGTCGAGAATCATTTGGCTGCAAGAATACGGATTTTTTGAAGTAATGAAGCGCATAGAGAGGCATTCCCATCATCTCATAAGCCTGTCCTAGTCCATACCAAGCACGATAATCACGTGGGTCAATGTCTACTGCCCGACGATAGGCATCCACAGCAGCAGGAGTGTTTTTCATCTCAACAAACTCATGTCCCATAAGTGTCCAAGCAGATAAGAAATTTTTGTTCAATTTAAGAGCTCTCCTAAAATACACAACTGCCTTTTCATGCTGCCCTTTTAAACTGTAATAATTTCCAATAATACAACAAGATTCAGGTCTGTATTTATCAGTCAAGAATACTCTATGCGCAAGATAACTCAAAGCAGAAAAACATTCCTTAGCATACAGCACGTTGGAGTACATGTCCATATCTTCTACTCTGTATGGATCATTACTAAGCAGTTCTTCGAATATTGCTTCAACTTGATCAAATTCTCTCAAACTGTACTGGGCTTTTGCAATTTGTGCCTGTATATAATTACTATTACCAAAGGTTCCCAGTAGGTATTCATATTTTGACAGAGAGTCATTGTGCATCCTTAATTCTTGGTAAACACTGGCAAGGAAAAAATCCTTCATCCAATGGCTATTGAGATTAAGACTATTCAATATATCAACTGTTTTGCATAAGGATTGCAGCTCAGTCCAGACATTCCAGTTCCAAGGGTAGCTATTAACAGATTCCACGAGAACTGTACGTGAAAGGTTCTCACTGCCTTTCTGTTTGAGCACAAGACCATATAAGTACAAACCAAAAGGATCAATTTTACCATTATTGCGTAGTGTTGACAATTCTCTCTCCAAAGATACTAATTCACGATTGATAGCATCGCTCTTACCCAGAGGCCCCTCAAGTTCTATCATTTCTTCCTCTTTTCGCTTTTCTCCAGCCTGAATAAAGTAAAAAAAATATGAATATGGAACAATTGCACTTAGTTATTTTAATTGAGTTTCTCTAAATACAAAAGAACAAATAATGCAGATCATATATCTATTTCTTCTCTCTCTCTCTATATATATATGTGTGTGCCGCGTGCGGGTGTGTTTGTAAGGATTGATTGGGCAGAAAAACATAAGATTTTGTTTTTGGAACAAAAAATATAAGATCAGAAAAAAAATATAAAGTGTTTCATTTTAAGAAAATCCTCCAAAAGTAATTGAGTGGAATAACAGCTGTAAAATGTGGGATCAATGTTAACCTAAATTGTTTCTGTTGCAGTGTTTATGGCTTGCAGTTCCAAAAATATATTTATGTTATTAAGATTATCCTTATTGAAAGAAACACACCTTTTGCACAGAAATAATTCATAAAGGTGAAATCGCAACACAGTTCACCAAATGTTTTAAATCCAAAAGTGGCCAAAGATACTATGTGAGATAGCCATATAGTACTTGCTATGAATAGAGCATCACCAACTGGAGGATTTAAAACTTGCTACGAATATGCAGATTCAACAGAGCATGGGCAGATTGGCCAAGGTGTTTGAGCATGAGGAAGCCATCTTAAAGTGTTCTTTCCTATTTCTTGTTTGTAAATACAGTAGCATAAATTTAGTATTTTTGTTTAGTTAGTATAATTAGTAACTATAGTATAATAAATAGTATGATAGAAAGTGAGCTGTTCTATATAAAAATAAAGAAAATAAATTTTGATTTGTGGCCAATCCAAGTTAGGCTATGCTGGTTCAGTTTCACCCTTTTCACATGAGGACAATTTTTTGCATTTTTGCTGTTTCTTTCTTGCTATTTTTAGTTGTTGTAGTTTCTGATTGTGTGTTTTGCTGTTTTAGAAGTTAGGATTTGCTGTTTTTCATCTAATCTAGTAGAAATTGTCTAGAGTATTTGATAAAACCCTTGTCTAGCTAGCCTGTTCCAGTTTCTGTTTTTCATTTTACTTTGAGTGTAAATTTTGTTTTAGCTTTACCTTGTAAGTCTGATGTCTATATAGTCTCTTTTGCTATTTTCGATATGTGGAGTCTCTTTTTGTTGCTTTTGTGTTTTTAAATTTCCAGCTAGTTACTTGTTGATTTGTCATTTGTAGTTGATAAGTTCTAACTTGTTTTGAGTAGTTCATTTAACAAAAGTGCATAAGTTATCATGAAAACACCAGTTTAGAACAGTTTTGAGAAAAATTCTAACCAAGTGAGATTTTGAGCCTTATTTTTCTTCTTGTGTGATTTCATTTATGATTCTAATACTCCGAACTTTTCTCTGGTTTTAGCTCTGCACCCTTTTCTTTATCCTACCCATATAACCTTGGCCACATTATAAGCTTGAGAAAGTCCTTTTTGATCATGAGTGCATTTTTCTAACATGGTGGTGGATTTTAGAGGCTTTTCAAGCCTATGGAAGTGTTAGTGTTCATATTGTGTTGAGGGTTAAACACTTAAATAGAAACACCATGAGAGAATAAGAGTAAACACCATCCAGTGAGGGGGTCAATTCTGATTTTTGAGCTTGGTTTGATTGATTTCTAATGCATTTAACTTGTGTAAACTATTTCTGACCTTGTTTGGAGCTTTAGAACTGAATTTTGGCAGATTTACTGTTGCTCACGGGTTTTCCAGCTTTGCAGAAAGGTTTTTTATTCTGTCCAGCTTTGTAAATTGTTTTCTTTTAGTTCTGTTATGTTTTTTTTTTTTGAGTGCAAAGGCTTAAGTGTGGGGTGGTGTTAAGTCCCAATTTTGTAATGTTTTCATAGCTAATTGCATCTCTTTTGGGTATTGTATGTTTTAATTCTTTGATTTGTGTTAGATTCAGTTTTCTTGTAAAATTAGTGTTTTGGAAAATGATGTTATAAAATGTTTTTAGATAGATTTTTAGTTTAGTTTGTAATTTTGTATAATGGTTAGTCTTTGAGATATAAAAACCACTTTTGAACTTCAGCTTTGTTTATAGAAATTCAGCTTGTGATTTTTTTTTTTTTGCAGTGAAAAACTTCATTTTATAGTGCCAGAAACTGAGAGAGATATTGATTGGTAAGCTGGTCTAGGTGCTGTGAAGAGTAGTGCAGTGGGAAACCTCCACCTGACAGTAATCTGAAGTTACAAGAGAGAAGTCTAATTTGAACATGGATTGATCTGAGATAGGGATGTTGTGAAACTGTTGGACCCGTCAACTTGTTGCTTCAGTCAAAAACTCTAATGGACAGTTCAGATTATTCTTAGCACTTGAGATAGCAAGTCATTACATCTGAAGATGAAGAGCTGGAAAAGAGTTGGACTTATAAACTGGTCACTTGAGTTACTTATAATATAGCTAGTGTAGGTTTTAAGTCAGATTAGGCAATCTCACATTTGTAACTGTCATAGACAGTTGACCCATTTCTGATTTCCATTCACGGGTATACAAGGCAGAAACACATCCATTAGATACAGTTCATTCGTTACAACAACTTTCAGTTTCTTAGTTTTAGTTTTCTGATCTTTGGGTTGTTTCACAATTCTCTCATGGACTAGATACCATACTTCAATTGCTTTGTGATGCTGAACCAGTGATCAATCAATACCAGTTAGATTTTTCTGTCAATTCTTTTTTCTCTTCGTTTCTTGAATTGCGTTAATCTTTATAGTTTAGTTGCTAATTCTAAATATTTTTGTTTCCATCATAATGCCTTTTGTTATTCTGATTCAGAAACAAGTTCCTAACCATTAGCATTCAGTTTCATCCTTGCATTATACTAGTTCAATTTCTGATTGAAAGCTTTTTCTAGATGGTTCTGGTATGACTTTCATACTCCAAGAAATTCAATCATTGATGCTTGGCAGTCAAGATTGAAGGTTGAATGATCATGGTTGAACTTGTTTCTCTATTTCAGAAATTACCCTTTCATTCTATTCACTGTTTTCAAATCCATTACTGATTCTAATTTTTTCCAATTCTGTTTTGCATTAAAATATTAATATCTTAATCTGATGTCGTTTTTGTATATTGTGCTTCTTTCTCTAATTCAATTTTTAATTCAGACTTCAATTTGATCATCAAGTTAGTTAATACAGTTTTATATATGGTCATTTTCTCTATTTTCAGATTCTAGCATTAGTTCTGCATATTGAATTTCAGTTTCTGCATCTTTGTTTAGTTTTGATCATTGTTCCATTTTAGTTGGTATATTAGAGTCATGTCTCTGCATTCAATTCTAAGATGAATTCTTATTTTCCAGTCCTTACAAGTTTAGAAGTTAGGTTTTCTGAATTTTAGGAATTAAATTCTGCACTTGTTCTTTTTGATAATTTTCAGTTTTAACATTCAATTAACATGTTTTAAATAGTTTACACCTGTTTTACTTATATCTTAACTCAGCACATATTTCTTACACTTTGCAATGTATTCTGTGTGTTAAGATTCTTTTTCATTCATCTAACTCATTTTCTAGTAATTTGCATTCCGTTCATTCTAAAAAACATGCATCTGTTTTAGATATAGGTTCTGTTTCACTTTAGTTTCATGACTACATTCTTAGGATACTAGTTTAAATAACATTTTTACATTCCACATTGCCCCAAACAGTACATATCTTGGTCAGATTACAGATTACTATCCTTAAAGATTGTTATTTTCTTGGATTGACATTCATGATCTACCCCATACCCATTAGGAGGGTTTTTTTTTTTTTTTTTTTTTGCTTGAACTTGAATGCAACTATATGGTTCAACAGTAGACATGAAGAAAAGACAGAGATAAGTGGGTGACATGCGTAGGTAGAGAAGAGAAATTATGGCCAAGAGTCTAGAAGTAAGGAAAAGATGAAATAATGAGTGGTCATGGCCTGATGGAAAAGAAAGATCGTTTTTGCTTATCTTCATGCTCATATTGCACAAAAAATAAAGCAGATTTAGAGTGTTAACAAACCACAGGACACGCTGCAACCCAATTTGAGTGTGACCTATGCAATTCCACCCAAGATTCAATGCAATGAATCAAACAATAACTTGATTTATGATTTTGAAAGTGATTTGAACAATTCAGGACCAATTCAGAGAAAAAACAAGTGTTTGCAAACTATTCAAATAGTGGGAGTAGAGAATCCTATGGTATCGGACATACTTCAACAACCATGATTCTGAGATGGGCAATGAAATGATATATAACAAGGGTTTTCATTATGATCACACTATCGTTTCCTTGAAAATTGTGATCACCATCCACTGATCAGTGTCTCTAAATATTTGTGCATTTTTCTAAATTAGTTATTTTAAAATTTATAATAACATACCATAAGAATTTAAGAGTTTTGTATACCTCTGTATCTTGGTCGTATGACACCAATATTGTAAAAGGATGAAAAAAAATGTAAAATAGTAAAAATATATCAAGACCCTCTCCAAAAAACAAACTAATCAATTACATATAACAGAAGAGTGTCTTGCCACCTACTAATTGCAATCTATTTAGAGGGATAGCACATATCCAATCGAAATGGATTTTGTCATGAAATTGAACTGAAATGCATGTACTATGCCATACTAGTATACTTCCCCTAACTTTTCATAAACATTTTGTATGCACTAGTTTGCACTTACAGAATTACATTAGTCAAAGATAGATGATTTGTTCGCAGTAAAACATATGAAATGAATGAACTATCACATATCTTCAATACTACAAACAAATTATTGGGAAAAACATTCAAATCCATAATGCATCAGAAGTTTCACTGTATCTAGCACATAAAATCCTACTAGTTACTATGCACCCTCAATAAAAGATAAAAGAAAGAACACAAAACTGACTCAATAAAAGATGGAAGAAAGAACACAAAACTGACCAGATAGAGAGCATAACAGCGCAAGAATACCGCCTTTCTTCCATTTTGATCACGAAGAACATGAGCGGCTCGCTTATACTCACGGCAATCAAAATAAGCCTTTGCCTGAAGGTAAAAATCATCATCAACAAGTTCATCTTCCTCCATCACAGGTGTGGCAACATACGAAACACCCGCTATTGGAGTCACAGTGACATCATGAGTCTTGTACTTCCTGCGAATGCTTGAACTCCCACGCTGAAATCTGGTGTTCGAAGGAGTGAACTTTACAGGGTCGTGCTCAATACCCACCAACTGTTCTGCTGCCCTGGAAACCACATCTTCATCAGAAACAAACCACCCATTCGCGGAAAAGCAAAGGGAAACTTCAAAATTCAAACTCAAATGTCTGGTTGGAAACCCCAAATTTTGTTTGGATTAGGGTTTTTGTTTAGATACCATTTAGAAGCAGAGTAGAGACGATCTATCGCTTAGTTGGCGAATCGCGTGCGCAAGTTCGCTTCTGCAACTCTCTTTGGAACTCATTTCTTCGACTACACTGAAAATAATGAAATCGCGCCCACTGCCTTTTTTCAAATTGTTGTCTTCTGTGTCTTTCCTCTCTTTACTTCCTTCCTTCCTACTATGCTTCTAATATTTCTTTCATTTCTGTCACCCTCCCTCTTTATTCAATTTGTATAAAAAATAAATAAAAATTTGTGAATTCCTTCAAATTAAAGTGAACAAAGGATACATTTTTTTTGTTAATTATATTTTTTTATATATTTGAAACGCATAGCTCCTTTTATAATGAATATTTAGAAACTATATTTATAATAAATTACATTGATAATTTACCAAAATTAAACTATGTTAATTCAATTAAAGCATGTAATAATAAATTTACTTATTTGTATATCATCTTTACTCTTAAATATGAAAAAAAAAATAACATTCAATTGTCTCAAATAAATATCTTTTTATATTCATTCAGATTTTCCATTTTTCAGAAATCTCAAACCTTGAGAATTCCTCGTTTTATAGCCCTTTGCGCAATTGGTTGAAACGTTCCTTTTAACTCAAACCTAGAAGCAAGTCTGACATTTTATCCTGCACCTCCCTGTTTTTCTTCTTACACCTTAAAATAGTTGAATTTCCCAAACTACTCCTTATTAAAAACTGCGTGCGATGCAGAGAAAAACGCGGTGCAAAGGGAAAATACTATGTGCATGGAAAGGAGGAAGGAAGAAAAGGTAAAAGGAGGAAAATGGGAATTTGAAATTAAGAAAGTGAGTTATGATAAACTAGGGTTATTGGTTAATACGCGGTTCCATTTTGCCGACAAAGGCTTGTTGGTATTTAGCCAACACTAATATTTGAGTGACACTGCTTTACGCAAAAGATAAAGCAGATATAGTGCTTCACACCTATATGGATCACTATGTTACATTTATTTCTTCCATATTATTATCTTTAATTCTTTTCTTTCTCTCTAATACAAACTTATTTTTAATTATTAAAATACTCTTAAAAATAGGTTCTCATTTTCCTTATTTATTTCCTTCCCATTAATATTTCGCAACACATGGCGTAAAACACCTTCTTTCACCAAACTAAACTATTTTATTTCACACCTTTTTATCTTTCTATGCCACCTTATACATGCATTACGTATTACAATTGTCATATATTTATCCCATCTGTTTCACAATTAACTTTAAAGCTAATATAATTCAATATATCACATCACTCTTACCTGATTTTATATTTTTTTCAACTACTACTTTTAAAAACTACGTTGACTATATTATTCATACTTAATTTGTGAATTTATCAATTTAATTTCTTTTATCTCTCCTCCCTGGTATCATACTCATTACTTTTTTTTATCTTACATACAGTAATCAAGTTCAGATTGATATGTCAACATTAATTACTATAACTAGTAGTCATTACTCATTTGTGTTACTGATAAAATAACTCAGGACTTGAATCCTTATTTTATTTTAAATGTGTAATAAATTTTCGAGCTTTTGCCCAACTGCTTTTGACAAAAAATAAATAAAAATAGTAATGATAATAATCACTGAAACAATTTTCATATATATTAGATATAAAAAAATAAAATTTAAATTTAATCCTGTAAAATCAACTATTAATATATAACAAAAAGTTAAGTAAAAATTTAATTATCACAACTGTAACTGTGAGACACGTGGAAGATTCGTTCGAGTTATATATTTTATTGCTGCCAAAATTATTTGCAAGAATTACTTTCATTTTTTAAAACTCGATCGGGTTGATTATATCACGGATATTATAACTTTACACTCCATAAATTTTTATTTATATTTTGCATCCGTTTTATCTTTTAATTTCTCTTCCTTTACAAATATAATTTTTTTAATAATAATAATATTTTTAAAAGTGGTGTATTTTGTTCTTAAAAAACATTTATCTTATATTAATATTGCCTCATTGGATAATTATAGAGTTTTGAAAATGAAACAATGAATTGATTTATCAAAGTGTACAGTGGTTGAGAGAAAAGCCGCCTGGAAAATTCAATTGAACTGAAATGCTTTCAAGATAGCGATCCTTGCCGGCTTCGCCAAACTGAGTAAATTATATATTAATTTATAATAATATACACTGAGATTTGACAAAAAAAAAAAAAACTTAATTAAAGTAGCAGTGACAGTAGAGGACAAGGATAAGATAATTACAACGTGATTTTTGTGGCAGGTGAGAATCATCCAATAAATACGTCAGAGATTGCATCCAAGTTCAAAGCAACGAACACAGTTGGAATGTTGTCTGAGATAGAAAGAAGAATAATCTCCACCGCAAAAACAACTCTCTCAGACGGCTATTGCTACCATGTTTAACTAGTGTTTCCTGTCTGTCCCACTGACACATGCGTTGACTTTTGTGTCCTAACTTCTCCATGTAGTTTGTTTTGCATATCATTTTTTACATTATTTAATTATATTATTATTATTTTTCCTCGTTTTTATCCATTTTTTTTTTGTCTCTTACATGCCTAAAAAACATTATACTATTTTTCATTCAAATATGAATTTTGTTCTTCGGTTTAGAAGAATAAATTCCATGATATCAATTTTTACTATTGTTTGCTTAAGATAATTATGACAATATTAGGACATTTAAGGTGTGTTTGTTTTAACTTTTTTAATAAAATAATCATTTATTTACAAAATTTATGTACTTATGTAAACTTAAAAAAAAAGGAAATCAGGAAAAAGAAAACTGTTTTTCTTTTTCTTTTAGAAACAACTTGCAGAGCTGTTTCTCTAAAATTTGTTTTTCCAATACGTTTTGAACATTAATAAACAGATCCTTTATCGTCATATGGTAAATATATTCAATCAATATTAAAATAAAAAATATAAATTTTATTAGCAAAGTATAAACTAACTGACAAGAGACTACTTTAGTTTAACTAGTACACTAGAGTCGATATAGTATTAAAAAATTACATATTTGCATGAAATTTTGAATTCCATTTTTTATTGTTGTTATTCTACATAAAAAAAAATAACAATTGCTTGTTTTAATCTTGTATTTTTTTATATAGTTTTATTAAAAATGTAGGAGTTGCATTACTGCATATCTAACACTAAACTTATTTAACTCAACTATAACTAGTTAAATAAATAGTGTATGATTTATATGTGGAACAAATAATTAAATATATATAAATTTATGTTCGTGAAATGATTTTTAAATTCAATATCCGCACACAAACACCTATCACATTAAAATGTTACCACTTAAATCCGCTTACCCACCTTGAATTTAATTTATACATGTATAACACAATTTCTATTTGTTTTTAGACGTATATATATCAAATAAAAAACTCATTATACATACATGAATTATATTAAATTGCATGTTTTGACATAATTTTTTTTAAGATTGAATAATTTAGCATACCTTAATAAAAAAAAGCCAGTTGTATTTGCATGCAGCTGTTTTGAGAAGACGAGTGGTTACTAATTAGTGAAAATGAAACATATATTTTGTGGCCGCCCAACTTTAGGACCAGCAGAAATTAGACTCGGTCTAATATAATTCAACGCTTAACTCAAGTCAACCCCCTCATTCACTCGGTGCTGCTTTTGATGTCGATCGCTGTTACTTCTATTATAATCAATTAATTAATTCGGATTCTTTTTATTTACCTAATGCTTCATGCAATGTCCAAATGTACACCACCCATACGCATTACATGATTGGATAATGTTTTATAAAAATTAACGTGTTTGCTAATCCGAAGTCAAGAGTACTTTAACTATTGTTAATGATTAGTTGTATTTCACTCAACAGATAAACAGCTCTCTAGTTAGAAAATTTAAGGGGAGAAAAATATTAGCTAAAACTGGAAACACGGTCCACAAAAGTTGAAGAATCACAATCAAAATTGTACTGAGAGAGAGAGAGAGAGAGAGAGAGAGAGAGAGAGAGAGAGAGAGAGAGAGAGAGAGAAATGAATACTACTGATATTCCATATTCCAATACAACAAAAAATCTTCAAGTGACCCACTCCCTTTAAATACCTCTCCATACACACTAAATCTCCAACCAAGATTTTCTGATTTACACACAACGCCAACTTCCCTATACAGACCAAACCATGTGTGAGTTATCATCATCTACCTCCACTTTGGGTGAAAGCAATGAGGGTCATCCACACACGCACACGACCAAAATTCAGGAGCCAGACATGTTAGCCCTTTTGATCCCCAAACCCCCAACAACATTCCAACAAGCCCAAAAAACCCATCAAAACACCCATTTTTCCCTGGCTTTCAACGAAGCCAAATGCATAGCAAGCACAGCATTACCCATGGTGCTCACGGGTTTATTACTCTACTCTCGCTCCGTCATCTCTATGTTGTTCCTCGGTCGTGCTGGTGAGCTTGCCTTAGCTGGTGGTTCTCTCGCCATTGGATTCGCCAACATCACTGGTTACTCTATTCTCTCCGGCCTCGCCATGGGGATGGAACCCATCTGCGGCCAGGCTTTTGGGGCCAAACGTTTCAAACTTTTGGGCTTTGCCATGCAGAGGACCATTGTTCTTCTTCTTTTAACTTCCATTTTTATATCATTCTTCTGGCTCAACATGAAGAAGATACTGCTCCTCTGTGGCCAACAAGAAGACATCGCCACCCAAGCTCAATCCTTCATACTCTATTCTCTTCCCGATCTCGTCGCACAATCATTGCTACACCCTCTGCGAATCTACTTGCGAAGTCAATCCATAACCCTCCCTCTCACATACACTGCCTCTCTCTCTATTCTCCTTCACGTTCCCATCAACTACCTCCTCGTCTCCGTGTTCAAACTTGGAATCAAAGGCATCGCTTTAGGTGCCGTTTGGACCAATTTCAACCTTGTCTTTTCGCTGATTCTCTACATCTGGGTATCCCAAATATACAAGAAAACATGGACTCCTATTTCCTTGAAGGGCATCTTCTGCGGTTGGAAGGCGCTTTTGGATTTGGCAATCCCGAGTTGCATTTCGGTTTGCCTGGAATGGTGGTGGTACGAAATCATGATTTTACTGTGCGGGTTATTGATCAATCCCCAAGCAACCGTTGCATCGATGGGGGTTCTGATTCAAACCACCGCATTGATATACATTTTCCCTTCTTCTCTGAGCTTTGCTGTTTCAACACGTGTTGGGAACGAAGTGGGTGCGGAGAATCCTAAAAGGGCCAAACTCGCAGCACTCGTGGGGCTTTCTTTCAGTTATGTTTTGGGATTGTCGGCCTTGTTTTTTGCTGTTTCGGTGAGGCACGTGTGGGCATCCATGTTCACACGTGACAAGGAGATCATTGCTTTGACGTCGATGGTGTTGCCCATCATTGGTCTCTGCGAGCTTGGGAACTGTCCGCAAACAACGATTTGCGGCGTCCTGAGAGGAACCGCGAGACCGAAATTGGGAGCGAATATAAATTTGGGTTGCTTTTATATTGTGGGAATGCCCGTTGCGGTGTGGTTGGGTTTCTTCGCGGGCTTTGATTTCAAAGGCTTGTGGCTGGGTTTGTTGGCCGCCCAAGCTTCGTGCATGATCACCATGTTGTTCGTGTTGGCTCGCACCAACTGGGAGGGTCAGGTCGAAAGAGCCAAACAACTCACATCGTCTGATGCTACTGAGGAGGAACACGAACAGCAAGAGCAATCCTCAACAGAGGAATGCTTTGATTCAAATGTTTGATCAATCATCACAATGACACTACGAGGATTCTTTAATATTTTGCATTCAATATTTATTACACGGACGGATTCTTTTTAGATTCTGCTAATTTTCATGTACATTTCGGAGTAGAGGCAGAGCATAAACGCATGCACTCGTAGAACGGACAAAAACATAGGAATGTGTTTTGTTTTTGCTTTTTCTCATTAATATTAATCACCGGATTGTCGACCTTGGCAGAGTTGTCACAAAAGACACTGTATCACTTCTAAACATGAAAATCTTGGAACATAGTCTTAAGACATTGATTCTGTGCTAGTTGAGAATATGGCGAAAAAAACAAAGGGAAAGTGAAACCCGTGAGACAGTGTTTGGAATGGTAATGAAGCAATTGTTACTTTCTAGAAATGTCGTCTGCGATAGGATTGTTTGTATATTGCGCGTTTTAATTAGACATGGACTTGTGTCGGTTGGTTGACGACGAAAACGAGTCATCCGCACTTTGATCACTCTGCTGACTCCTTCAAGTGACTCAACATATGCACGAAAGGATTCCATTCCACCCCTCAATTCTGACATGTTTTAATTCAAGAAAGGAAATTTACAAATTAGAATGTTCCACGTTTTATACCAACTGAAGCAGTCTCTAGGATGTTTCCTTTGTAAAATATTCCCAACACCTTTAGGTTTGGCAGGTATTTCAATTGACACCATCTTTGTTCAAATTCGTTGTTCTTGTGCAATATTTCATACAACTTTCCTTCTTACAAAGTTATTAGAATATAATATGCAATTGACGCTAATTTCACGAAATAGTAAAGAAAACCTTGATTAAAGTAGTAGAGGACAGGATAATTACAACGTGTTTTTTGCGAGAAAGGTGAGAGTCATCCAATGAATAAGTGACAGATATGCAGCCAAGTCCAAACTAATGAATACGGTTGGAACGTTGAAGTGAGACCGAAAGAAGAAGAATCGATCTCCACCGCCAAACAAACACTCTGGGACGGCTATTGCGGCATGCTTTATCTAGTTTTCTCCGTGTCCCATTACCACGTATTTACTTTATCTTAATCATGTTACTAATAAATAGATTGTCATTTCTAACATAGTTTTATTAAGAAAATTTAGGATGGCGGTGTCATTTATATTGATTGGATTAAATATAGTTTTAATCCTGGACATAAAATTAATTTCAAATTTTGATATTTAAATTTTAAAAATAAATTATTATAATTTTTTAATTTGATGGTATTAGTTTTTCTTTTACATATAAAAAAATATTTTAGATTGATATTTGAGCTGTATTGTGTTAAAGATGTAAATAACAAATATCAAATATCATCTAACACATACAAAATATTATTGAATTAAAATGATTTTATTAATTTATTTTTAAAATTTTAAAGATAAAAGATATATTAAAATTTGAAACAATGACAAATTTTAATTTTATGTTTAAATTTATAACTAAAAATGTAATTAACATATTTTGAGGGATTAAATGTGTTTTTTTTGCCCTTAACTTTCAATCAAAATTAAAATTAATGTTTCTTTAAAATTTTGAACCAATTTAATTCTTCAATTTTAAAAATACGTGGATTTAGTCTTTTTAACTAAATTTTCTTAATTTTATTTAATCTTTCAAACAATTCTATTTGAGTTATTTATACTATTTAACACAATTTTTTTTAATGTTAATTGAAAAATATATTTAAAATCTTAAATAAACTTATCAAAATTTTGATTAAAATTTATACGAATATAAAAATGAAAAAATAAATTAATTCAAATTAAAAAAAGATACTAATTATATTTTTTATTAAAAGTTAAATAACAAAAACATATTTAACACTTTTTAAAATAATGTAATGAATTTGGAATTGGACTGAACCCACGAGTTGTTTAAATTGAATTTTAGAAAACGTAAAAGAAAATGAATATTTGGGTTATTCTCATTGCATGCCGCCATTTTGAGAAGATAAGTGGGTATCTAATAAGTAAAAAAGCAAAGATGTATTTTTTAGCCGCCCGACTATAGCGTGGAGAAGTAGAAACTAGAATCGGTCTAACATAAAAGGCGAAGAAGACCCTCTTGGACGTTTAATTGAATTCAACAATCTCAACGACATGGCATTAAATATTCACACTTGCTGGTTTTGATGTTGATCCCCTCGTGTTTCTAATGTGCTCCATTAATTAATTCAGATTCTTATATTATATCTTTCTTATCTAATACTCCATGCAATGTCCACATGTAGACCGATACATCGGATATTGTTTTTGTTTTATAAAACTTAATATGCTTGCAAGTCCAAAGTCAAGATCCATGCGCATGTCTCATGTTTCTGTTGTATACGTAGCATTAACTATTAGTATGTAGTATTAACTCCATGGATAAAGACGTTTTAGCTTGGATTTTCTATAGATTTTGACACCTCTCAAATGCACCCTACCAATGCTTCTCTTCATTGCTTCCACCAACCAAACCATAAGCCACCAAACCAAGGCAAAACACATCACATGTATTATGGTCGTATAGTGGTTAACAAATTTTTCGATTTCATGAGAGACATA